AGTTTCTTAGAACTTGAAACAAATGTGTTGTGAATCCTACTTCAGGCAGATAGTTGAATGCCCCAAATCATGACACCCGTCATACGACACTGCTTTGGAAAATAATGGTTCTGAGATATTATTGTTTACTTGATGACATCTTGTCTAATCAGCACTGTGTCTGCATACGTGGGTGTTTGTGACCTTTTGAGCACTGCACGTTCTGTGACTTCGACCTTTACAATGAAACACATAAAAAGTGAAAGTACCCACTGTACTGCCACGGATAAAAGGATTGCATTATTGTGCAAGGCTCGCATTAAAGGTTGATTTAAGGAATTTGTGAAGAAAAAAAAAATGTCAATTTATCCTACAGATTTACTATCAGCTCAGTCATTATGAAGAAAATAGTATTACAGGGCTATGAAACCAGCTGTGGTATTCATCTGGGGTTTACTATATCTTGAGAAAAATAACTAATAAGTTGCATTATGGGAAAAGTAGGTCCCAGGGGCCTCATTTATAACGCCGTGCGTAGGATTCACGTGGGAAGTTTGCTTACGTAGTAGAAATTAAAAAAATAGGTACAAAAATGTTCCGACATTTTCCGATTCACAAAACATTGCGTTTCCCTTTATAAATCACAATCGACTCGAAATGTGGTGCCGCTTTTGCGGGCTTCACGTAACGCCCATATTTGCCTATAAATAGTCAAAGAAACGCCCATTCATTCATTCATTTTGACTGACTGCATGAAGAAGATCGCAGGAAATGACGACAGAACAGCTAAAAAAGACATCTCACACAGTGTCAGATTTTGGTTATTTTGGGGAGGTGGAGATAAATCATATTGTTTGGCGGATGCAGTTTGAACCAGAGTAGCAGCATGGAGGTCGGATCGTCACCAAAATAAATAAATAAATAAGTGGTCCGAAAAAGGTTAATGACAAAAATAATACACATAGCCTTCCTCAGGCAGTGTGTTTGCACCTGGGACAGGACACACCACCCCCCAGTTAAAGGAAATACAACTAATGTGTTGTGTTATATCAGCTGTACAATTTACCACATATGGTGTTCTTAGTTTCCATACCTCCTGTGTTTTACAAGCGACTTATCAAGTCTTGGCAAACGGCATAAAACACGATTAAACGTGATAGTATATAAAATCATGCTCGTATCTACAACCTATAGAAATGCAAAACGGCGTCAGTTTAGACGTAATTCTCTCCTCCTGCTTACCGCATCATTTATGAGAAAACATTTCATAACATTAACACAACATATTCGAGGTGGTTTTAAATAACATATCCGTATTTATTTATTTCTCCAAGTTACATTTTTGTGTGCACTGAGTAGTCGCAAACAGGCGTTTGTTTAATCATTTTAAGATTGGCTTTAATCAATGTTTGAAAAGAAGCAGAAGGACAGAATTACGTCTAAATTGACGCCGTTTTGCATTTCTATAGGTTGTAGATAAGAGCATGGTTTTAAATAGGCTACCATCACGTTTAATCATGTTTTATGCCGTTTGCCAAGACTTGATAAGTCGCTCGTAAAACACAGGCGGTATGGAAACTAAGAACACCATATGTGGTAAATTGTACAGCTAATATAACAACACATTAGTTGCATTTCCTTTAACTGGTGATAGAGTTGCTGCGGGGGGGATTTGAGATGGGACACAAACCACCAAATACAAAAAAATTAATTCAGATCCAGTCGTCATGACTCCACTCCGGAGGGATTCCCCGATCATTTCTTACAGTCACTCATCAAGGGGGTGTCTCCTGTCCCCGGCACAAACACACTGCCTGAGGAAGGCTATGTGTATTTATTTTGTCATGAACCTTTTTCGGACCACTTGTTTATTTATTTTGGTGACGATCCGACCTCCATGCTGCTACTCTGGTTCAAACTGCATCCGCCAAACAATATGATTTATAGACCTCCCCAAAATAACCAACATCTGACACGGTGTGAGTTGTCTTTTTTAGCTGTTCCGTCGTCATTTCCTGCGATCTTCTTCATGCAGTCAGTCAAAATGAATGAATGAATGGGCGTTTCTTTGACTATTTATAGGCAAATATTGGCATTAAGTGAAGCCCGCAAAAGCTGCACCGCATTTCGATTCGATTGTGATTTATAAAAGGGAAACCGGCGTAGGAAGTGCCATACGCACTTTCCTCGCCGGTACGCAATGTTTTGTGAATCGGAAAATGTGTGTACCTATTTTTTTTAAATTTCTACTACGTAAGCAACCTTCCCACGTGAATCCTACGCACGGCGTTATAAATGAGGCCCCAGGAGTGGCTGGATCAAGTTAGCTACCTAGCTAGTAGCTAGCACGTTAGTTAGCATTACAGCCTTGTCATTTGTATTTGTATTGCCTTAACATGAAGTAACATTAAGTAACCCAAAATGTTAAACAGTAAGAGTAGTAGTCATATTTCGTGAACCCTTTGAAGAGTACTGTCACCGGTGTGATCATTCTATAATACACAATTTAAGCCCGGGTGAGAAATGCTAACGCTAGCATCGGCGATCGTCGATCTTTTCTACTTCATGCTATCTGCACAAATGGTTGACATTAAACATTAAAAAGACCAGGCAGTTCAGAGAGAATCAAAGGAAGGCAGGCAGGCAGCTTTGCATGACATTCTTCTGGACGTGTTTCATTGTGGTGAAAGTGAGGGTAGTCAATCGTTTTGTTGACAAGACAGTAGTGACGGCCATCTTGGTGACGTGTGTTGTTCTGCGAGACCAGAGATGTAGTTCATTGAGCGTTTCACACAAACAAATGTGTTACTTCACAGTTTTACGACACTTTTTTTGAACTTGCAAAATTATCTTTTAAATTGACAAACATGTGTAATTCGTGGCACAATTCAAACGGAATCGAAAGATAATCTTTCTACATAATTTTTTCGAAATAAGGTCCCATGGAGGTCCACCGGAAGGGGAGGGACTTCGCCACTATTATTTCCCCATATTTCTCTCCATTCTTCCTTCTGCCAACGGTGTCGCAGTTTCTCGTCCCTCCCGTGTTTGTGCTTAGTGCGTACGCATGGGTTAGAGTTTGCGTGGAGGACCGCACATTTTCCCGTCAAGTTAGTATTTTATAAATCGCAAACATTGCGTAGAATCGCCATTTTTGGAGCGTATATCCCTTTATAAATGAGACCCCAGAGCTTTTGAAGCGTAACGCATTAGTCAGGATACCTTTGTATCTGTTGCATTAAATACAGCGTGTCTCTGCAAGCAGAACGTTGAAGGTATTTCTACCACCAATATTAGCCTAGATTAGCATAGTGACTGAAGGTCAATGGGGTCAGTTTGTGTGTGTGTGTGTGTGTGTGTGTGAGAGAGAGACAGATATATATTAGACTGAGATGTCAGGCCTTTTACATGTCTGTGTCAGGGGCCCCCTCATAATGTCCACGACTGTAGGCTATACAAAGCTAGATAGTATTATACATCAGTATAGAGTATTTGCCTTTCATTTATCACACTGAAATAAATATTTATAAAAATGCACAGTGTATACTTTGCTAAAAACCAGGGCTTTGCATTTGAGCCACATTTTGTGAAATAATGTCAGTATTACCTTTTTTTCCCATTTAACATAATTTTAAGATTAGTACCTGGTTGTATCATGTTTTCTGACTGTTTATGGTTTGTGCTTGGTTAGTTAGTGAGTCATTATTGATTAGTTATGGTCAAAGTGATGCACCATACTACTGAAACAAATGATTATACATAACCACCTGTAATAAAGTCCATGTAAAGTGAGTGTGACCATTCAGAAATAATTGGGAAATGTGACTTTCTATGACATCAGCAGTTTTTATACAGACAGAATCCTTTTATTTTAGGCAACTCAACAGGTGCCACAATACTTAGAAAGACTGACAACTTTGAACAGAGACAACTGTAAGGCCATTGATAGCAACCAAAATAGTAAATCTGAGAGAGACCAGGACTATGACCTTCAAACTGACTATCAGCATTAGGTTCCAACAAGTGGGCTAAGCTGCTGAATCAAGTTCAATGTTTTTGTGTGAGCATGGGTTTCCTCTTGACAGTTCCAGAAACATTTCAAAATAAAAGTTGGAGTATTAAAATGTTGAGTGCTTCTCCAAATAAAAAGTTGTGTTCTTGGTTCGATATGTTTTATAGCCAGAGCTTTTGTGCCTTTCCTTTAATAATACTTCAAATTAAAGCTGTGTTCGAAAACAAGCTTTAATATAAGAAGTAGTGAATAAGTGGACAAGGGATGAGACTGTCCCAAATCTATAAAAAAAAATATATACATATCTCAAAGTGAAAGAATGACGAAACAGTGGCAAAACAAGAGGCTGAGCAAGGCATACAACAAATACAAGAGATGCCAAATGACCACAGCAAAACAGAAATATGTATGAAAAATGTGATGAGTGATGTAAACTGAACAGAAACACAAATCAAGATGCAAAACAAATACAGAAGATTAAGTTATGCCTTGTCGTTCTTTTTCTATCTCTTTGTCTGTTTATGTTACTCTTATAAATGACAGGTGGGGGACCTTGACATGTGTGTTGTGTCATCATCTGTACAATGTTGTTGTCTTTATTTCATATATCATCTTCTATAACAATGTTTCAAACCGTCCCCTAGCTTTAGCTGAAGCTTAACTAAATTGACTTTGGCTAAATCCAATAAACAAGAAGGAACACCAGAAGGTAAAAACAACAGTCACTCCCCCCTCTTCCTACCAATCAAGCTGCCCTGCAAGTTGTTGCTAGTTGAACAACGTAGCACTTAACAGCTATGTATGCATCATGTGCCTGCCAAAACATGTATCCTGAAACTTGTGTCAGCGTTCATCAGTTCTTTACATGTTCCATTATCCAATGAAGCATACAGTTGATCAAGCATATACACACACCTCTCTTTTACCCAGTGTATGGTGTGATAAGTTCCGGCTAAAAGCTGTCCTCCCTTAATGTAGCTGAATGAGCATGTTTACAATGTATTCTTACCCGAGTGAGGTCCTTGTAAGTTGTCTTCGTCATCTTCCTTCGCAAACATGTTGCCCAAACTGACAGGTTTGCTGCTTCCAGCTGCAGCCGCACTATTGCCGTCACCCTCTGCATCCTCGACTGGTACTATTGTAAAGTTGATGGGCATTTTGGCTCTTCAATCGTATGGAATAAAGTGTGTAAGGGGTGTTCAGTTACATCAACCAAAATTGCATTAGTTGTTTCACCCCCACAGGGAAGAAGGAAAGTATCCAAAGGAAGTCAAATCCAGGCCCAGTAGAGGCAAAGTTTTAGTTTGACCTCAACATGGCACTCTTAAATCTTTTGTTCATTCCTCTTTGTAGTGGGATCTAGTGTCCTCTAAACTCAGGTTGAAAGTGCTGCCTCTTGCACATGAGGCAGGCCAAAGTCCTGCAGAGTATCTCTTCACTCTCTCCTTGTTCCTTTCCCTCCCGTTTCCCCCCACTGTGCAAGACTATGGCCCCATGTGACCCTCTATTTACCATGTGAACAGAGCTGGATTCCATACATGGTGAACCCTGCAGCTCCTCCCATTGCTCTGACTGTCCCACTTCTCTCACTCTCACCTTTGAAGTGCCAGAAAGGTAGAGAAACAAACTCTAAAAGTATCTATAAAAGCCTCGAAATGATCTTTAAAAAATCCACTTTACCATAAAACAAAACAACTTGCTCCTTATAAACAAGGACAATCCAAACACACACTCTTTACTTTCTTGTTCTTCTTGCTGTGGTTTTGTTTCCTCTTCTGCCTTCCCTGGTAGTTTCCGTCTCTGGTTTCCTTCAGGTACACAAAATGGGAGTTACCTTTTCCCACAGTGCATTATGGGTATTGGTGTGAAATGCTGTTGGACAGCATAGCAAAGCACCACATGCGCACACAGACATTGTCCCAGCAAAGGAAACACCATGGAAACCTTGGACTTTAACTTTCCTCCGGTGCAGATTACAATGGACTGTCAGAGAGGAAAAGGATTTAGCTTTAAATAACAATGGGCTCAAATAAACATGCATTGTTTACAGATTGTGGGAATGATCATTTCATTGGCACTCTTACACACTCTTGTTTTACTTAAGGAGTTGGGACCTTTATCTTGATGTAGTTTAGCAGAAAACTTCTTTAAGAATGATAGCGCAACATGTAGAAAGTAAGCAGCAGTCTACTGTATGTTTCTTTGTATTTTATCAGACAATATGTTTTCCTTAGCATTTCTGTTGGACATTCCTTTAGAATACAGTAAGATGACCAATGACAATAAAGTGATGGCAACTAAAAAAAACACTCTTTTGTTGTGACTTTCATGATTTTCATATTTTTTGTTTATATCCTTATTTGTTTGACAGAGTAATGAAGATACAGTTTAAAAAGGGTCTAGCAAGCTGTTCTTCACGTTTTTCTAACTAAACTTCACTAAAGTCCATTATGCAGTGATCTTGAAAAACTGGAATGCAGCTGACTGTCTCATGCATTTTGAAAATACAGGCTTCCCAGATGTTTGACCAGATGTGTGTCTTTGAAGACTGAGTGTTCGTCCCTATGGCTTATTTCAAAACTGCTGAGCCACGTAATAGTTAATATGAAATATAGTGTGCCATGAAATGTAGACCTTAATAAACAGAACTGGATTGGAACAGCAGTGAAAGCAAACATGGCTCTTGTTGAACCTGCAGACACCCATTCTACAGCTGGCCTGATATCAGATGATATCCCAACCACAAAAACCACACTGGAAAACTGCTATTTGTTCAGCTTTGTTTAGAAAGTAATGCATGGTGGAGCTTTAAATATTGTTTTTCTTTTCTCATTTTAGTTTAAAAGAGCTGAGCTATAGAAACATTTGCATTAAGTTTCAATTCTGATTGTAACCACAATTTCGTTTGTGCTAGGTTTTGCTTTGACTCTTATTGCAATCTTCAGTGTTTTAAAGAAAGTATCAATCATGTCGATCCCATACCAACAGCAAGTGTCAGTGTAATGCCAGCAGAGGGTGCTGCAGGTTCATGGGGGCTGAACATTTATGTTGTAGAGAGATGTTCGTCAATGTCTAACTCACAGGAATGGATATTTTGAGTCTGTAAGCAACCAAGGGGAGATGACCGCAAATGATTTTTAGTAAGGGTTCACAGCAAGAGGTGGTAAAGAGTAGAAATACATCCATTAGTGGCTTGAGGACTTGTGACAACAGGTAAGCACTGTTGAAGTCACTCAATCAGTATTTTGTACTGACCCTGACCTCCCAATCAAAGACATAAATATCTAAGAGGTCAGAATTGTATTCAAGCTTGATTTTGTGTTTGGCACGACCTTTAAACATCCAAACTTCAAAATGCATTTCATAGCTGAAATAAGCTTATCACTTGGCCCAAGACTGAACTACCTCAGCTTTGCCTTCACGGACAAACCTGACATTTTATACTCCTCAAATGGCTTAAGTGTAAATGTTGAAATGTTGAAGAAAAAAAAAGGGTAAGCGAAAGAGCTCGAGTTGAAATCAAATCCCTTTAGCAAACAGCAAAAAGGTCAGTGCTGACGCAAACTCTGGGACAGGTTGCCCTCCCTCAAGACTATATTCTTAAGTGGGTAGATTCTATTTGTAGCATTTTTACCTGTTTACTGACTCCCCCAGTCCAAAACCAGGTAGCTGTGCAAACATACTGGAGGGTTTGGACGAACTCTTGTGTCATCACACAGGGAATACATTTCAACTGCCTGAACTGTGCAGCCGCAAAACGCAATATCTGAGCAAAAGGCTTCATGTTTATCATGGCTTGGCTGTACTTTTTATTCAGTCAGAAGATTGGCTTCAGTATCCTAACCTCATAATTATGAGAATTCAAATACAACTTTGAATTTGTAATACAGATAGTGAATTCCTTGTAGTTTGTTCTAGATAAAGCAATATTTAAATGTTTTGTTGGATACTTTACAACTGATTCTTCACCAAACCATTTTAGTTGCTGTTTATAGGCTGAATGTTAGTTTTGTCAACATCTGATTTAAAGCTTTAGCCATATATAATTGCAGAAGTCAGTCGAATTCATGAAATACTACATTTACCTAACTTAAGTAATGCTACACCCTTTAGGCTATCTTAGCAAAAGAAAAGAAACCCCAAATAACATTCAGTTTAACTGGCCTACCACTTTGGCTAATGTTGGGTAGCATTCACGTTAGCCAAGCTATACTTCCTTAAATTAAAATATATTTCATGAAGAGAGAACTGTGTAGCCATTTATATGAGCCTACTATCTTGCCAGGTGACCCTCCTAGCTAAAGAAACAGGTGTAGTGGGCGAATTTTCCGATTTAGCAAGTCACATGGCTTCAGGAAAAAACATAGCACCATCACTGCCACAATGAAAGTTGTAAATGACATCACTAGTTTTTTAGATAATAAGCAGAGTTGTGCAGCTCTGTTTATTGATCTCTCTAAAGCGTTTGACACCGTTGATCATCGCATTTTAAAATAGAGGCTACTCAGCATTGGCTTGTCCAGCCTTGCAGTGGGGTGGTTTGTGAACTACATATCTGAAAGGTCCCAATGTGTACACTTTGATGGGCTCACTTCTGAGTGGTTGAGCATTTCTAATGGTGTACCTCAGGGTTCTGTTCTAGGTCCACTTTTATTCTCCATTTATATTAATAGCTTGGGTGATAATGTGGAGGAAGCTACCTTACATTTTTATGCGGATGATACTGTGATGTATTGTGCAGGTACCTCAGTTAAGGAGGCTGTTGTTAAATTACAGACTGTTTTTAACACTGTTCAGACTCAGCTCTCAGCGCTTAAGCTTCTTTTAAATGTGGATAAAACTAAGTTAATGCTCTTTTCAAAAGCTAAAAAGTCACCAGAGCCTGTTTTAGATATTGTAACCATGCAAGGAAAAAAACTTGAAGTGGTTACCTCTTACAAATACCTTGGTATCTGGCTTGATGACTGTCTTTCTTTTAAACTGCATGTAAATAACCTGCTTAAAAAACTGAGGGTTAGGCTAGGTTTTTTTTATAGAAACAAGTCCTGTTTCTCTCTTGAGGCCAGGAAAAGGCTAGCCACTGTGACCTTTTTACCTGTGCTGGACTATGGTGATCTATTTTATATGAATGCGCCGGCCAATTACCTCACGAAGATAGATGCCGCCTATCATAGTGCACTAAGGTTTGTGACAGACTGTAAGACTTTGACTCATCATTGTACCCTGTATACAAGGGCAGGGTTGCTTTCACTTACTGTACGGCGGCTAAATCACTGGTATCTTTTTATTTATAAAGCAATGTTAGGGAAACTTCCGTCTTACATCTGTTCCCTGATCTCACAGCGTATTGTAAATGGCTACTGCCTGAGATCTAAAGCTGTGGTTGTATTACATGTGCCAACTGCTAGGACTGTATTAGGAAATACAGCTTTTAGATGCGCAGCGCCGCTAGCATGGAACAGTCTACAAAAGGAATGGAAGCTAAGCAGTTTGATTCCATTTCATGTTTTTAAAGCTAGGATAGACGCTATACAATCAGAAAATATTGGTGTCTGTAAATGCTACTAGTATACAAACTGTAGTATCATATAATGTCCTTTGTTTTCTGTCATGTTTGTATTAATGTTTGGAACTAATTGAAGCAGGTCACCATTGTAAAAGAGGTCTATGATCTCAATGGGTTTTATCTGTATAAATAAAGGTTTTGAATTGAATTGAATTGAATTGACATGGACCTCTCTCTAAAACATGGACAACTGTACACAAGCATTTGTTATGATTACATACTTATAATCAAAAATACTAGCTAGTCATCAACCATCTCGCATCACAGCCAAATATCAAGCAAATTCAACAACACAAGAGCTAGCAAGCTAGCTAATCTCACTTACCTATCCGTGCTTTCAATAGGCTCTGTGCACAAGATGGCGTCTATCAACTTCTGGCGGCTGAGTACTTCCGGTTTGAGTACAGAGTTTTGACAGCTTGACAGTTTGTTATGTCACACCGAGAGCAAGAATGAGCGGATTTCGGTGTAAAGAAAAGCGATTGGCCTTCCAGCGTGTAAGAAAGTCGGCACTACATTGCTGTGTGCCCCTTTGTACAAATTCGTCCCTTTATCAGAATCAGAATACCTTTATTAGTCCCACAGAGGGGACATTTGCAGCGTTGAAGCAGGAAAGAGCCACTGACAGCTTAGTGTTGAATTTCTTACATGCGTTAAAAAGTACTAAGTTATAATATAATAAACAATATACTAAAAAAAAGATAAAAAGTTACATAATTTTCAAAAATACAGATCAAAAACAAATCAAATCTACAAATCAAATCCTGTAGCTGCAGTTCTTAGGATTTAGCAGCCCGGTATATATTACAGTTATTAAAGATGGCATATGTATATAAACTCAGTGATTCCCACAGCATGTTAATACTTTGGGGGGCCCCCAAAGTATAATGGCTCCCCCCAAAGTATAATTTGTGTGTTTTTTGTTTTTTTTTACTCAGTGAGCACTCATTTGCATTTGCATTGGTGGCAATGAGTGCTCAGTGAGTAAAAAAAACTTAAAAAAACATAAAATTATACTTTGGGGGGAGCCACCCATAAATTATACTTTGGGGGGAGCCATTATACTGGTAAACAGCCTCTATGGGCGCGAGTCCAGACCCACTTTTGGAATCAAATGATGACGTCAGTGGGATTATCTCCTTTATCAACTCCTAAGCAT